TAAAACGTACATACCTGAACTGAATTCGGCTCTGTGTAAACTTCCCCACCCTCAAAAATCAACCAATTATAAAGCAACACCCACCACAATGACCTGGACATATGACTCCCGCTAAATGACTGCAACCTATATATATTGTTACAGTGTTGTTGTACTCAAAATATTACATGATTATAGGCAGCAGCCTATAGATATATAGAAATGAACAGGAAGGGTCAGCAAGGAGCTGGAAGGTAAAGCAGCACAAAGGTAAAGTAGAAGGAGCAGAAAGGGTCAGAAATGAGCTGGAAGGGGCAGGAGGAGCACAAACATAAAGTAGGAGAATGAGCAGGAAGGGCCTGCAAGGAGCAGGAAGGAGCACAAAGGGACAGCAATGAGCACAAAGGTAAAGGAGCAGAAAGAATCAGAAGGAGCACAAAGGTAAAGTAGGAGAAAGAGCAGAAAGGGACAGCAAGAAGCACAAAGGTAAAGTAGAAAAGGGAGCAGAAAGGGTCTGCAAAGAGCAGAAAGGGATCAGAATGAGAAAGGAGCAGAAAGTAGCAGAAAGGTAAAAGAGCAGAAGGGGCCAAGTATAGAAAACAGTGTCAGAAGAAAAAAAAAGACTGTCAAATGAAGGAGAGGAAAAGGAGATTGGAGCAGGAAGGACAAATGAAGTGAACCCTCCACTTTATTCTGGACACCACATCATAAGGCTTTGGTACCTGGGCCTGGCAGGGAAACGCTGGACCTTCTCATCTCCAAAGGTAAAAAAATATCGGTGTTAATGTGTTCACTTTTATTTACTGAGTGTCAGGAAGCACAGAGTGCTGTTGGGTAGGGGTGTTGCTGATTGGCTAGAGCGGTCAGCTGGCACTCTAAGCCAATCAGTAGCTCCCCATTCATAAAAAAGTAAAAATATTTTATGAACCGGGAACTAGCGATTGGCTTAGAGCGTCAACTGACCACTCTAGCCAATCAGCGGCACCCATGCCTGACGTCAATCTGCACTTCCTGACACTCTGTTTCAGAAGCCAAATACCACTGAGCGACCTGGAGCTGGAGGAAGCCTTTGGGGTTAAACCATTTGAGAGCGATTTAACCCCTTAAAGGAAAGCGAGCACCCAGGGGCTTCCTGGCATCATAGCATTTTCATTTAGGTGAAGTTGTTATGGTGACCAGAAATGTCCTTTAATTTGCTTAAAGGAACACTGTAGTGTCAGGAATACAAACATATATTCCTGACACCATAGTTGTGAAAACGCTATTCACCCTGGCTTTATGTGATAATGGCCCTTCCCTTTCATGACACTGTCAAAAAGGTACCAAGCATGGATGTCATTACAATTATGCCCCCCCCTGGAAAAATTCCTGCGGACGCCCATGGTGGTGACTCGCAGGTCTTGAGGAGAGGTCCTCAGGCTCCTCTTCAAAATACTCATATGATTATTTCATAACGATTTTATTAACAGAGCAGCTTCAATCCACTTTCTCTAATGCGGTACAGATAAGTGCAGGGCCTCCTTTAGAAGGATATAGGCTTTGCTCCAGGGAAAGGCACGCTCAAGCCTGGGGTGCCACTGAGGTCTTGTTGGAGACACAGAATATCTTGCCAACTGGACCATGTTGACGATATTCTTACTTGGAAGCATTGCAGGTCCTCTTTCACTTCGCTGGGAGGAAGCGACATAAGGACATTTCCTCCTAGCACACAGGAAATGCAGAGGAGAGCAAAAGGAACCACGGGGCCCCAGTGCGAAAACTGCCCTGGCCCCCCCATACGTCTACCCCCTTGCCACCACTCCATATGTCTACCCCCTTGCCACCCCTCCATATGTCTACCCTCCTATGCGTTGCCCCCCCCCAACACGGTCATGCTGTTAAAGCAATGCAGCGCTGACCAGGCCCCCTGGAAATTTAATTCCATCGGGTGGCCCTAACAGCATGGGCCACCCAGTGGGCCCCTTAAGGGTTCTACCGTGCAGGCCTAAGCCGCAACACATGGCAGCAGGCACCGCAGTCGCAGGGGTCCGCAGGGTGGCCGGGTCCCCTGGAGTGGAGGGCCCGGTCTTAGCTGCAACTGCAGTAGTTCTGCCACTGTGTATGTCCAAGTGTGTGTGTGTTGACAGAGTGTATCTGTGCGAATGACAGTGTCTACAGTGCATTTCCCTTGGCCGCCCTGGATATGTGAAAATGTTTTACTTGATTCATTAAGCCAATCAGTAACTCCTGATTCATAAAACTGGCATGGAAATGTATGTTTCTTCCCAAGCCAGTTTTTTTGAATGGGGAGGGAGTCATTGATAGGCTAAATGTGTCAGCTGACCTCCTTCAGCCAGTCAGCACCACCACTCCAAAAAAAATGAATTTTTCATAAGCTAGATGCCGTCGGGTGGGAGTTGAGATCAGCGCTGGAGGCTCACATTGGCTGTTAAGCTGTTGGAGATCGGTTTTACCCAGTGGTTTCCAAACCAGCCCTCAAGGCACGCCTAGCAGTCCAGGATTTAAGTATTACCTAGTTGTGTCTAACTGTGTTTTTAGAAGAAAAAAAATGGGCACAACTGGGTAATCCCTAAATCCTGGACTGGTAGGCGTGCCTTGAGGACTGGTTTAAAAGCCACTGGTTTAACCTCTTGGGTTTAACACTTTGAGGTAAGAGTGCACCAGGGGGCCTCTTGGCTCCAGAACAACTTCATTTAAATGAAGTTGTTAAGGTGCCTGGAGTGTTTATTTAAACGTTATTGAATTCTGTCTTTTTCCATATTCTTCCTTCACCAGGAATGCCTGTAAAGTATGAATTATTAGCTTGTATGCAGTTGAATGGCTTAGTTGCAGGTTGTGCAATCTGCCACAGCAGGGGCGGACTGAGAGCCTTTGGGGCCCCCGGGCAAAATTAGATCCCAGGCCCTTTGAAGGCCAAATATATGTGCATTTTAATAAATGTTAAATATAATTCATAATACGGCATTCCTTTGGATGTGTGTATTGTGAAGACCCGTGTATCAATGCATGTTTGTATTTGAGTCTGTGTGAATGCACTTGTGCATGTCTGGATGACTACATGTGCTTTTTTGTATATAGTGTCTGTGTGAATGCATATGTGACAGGTGACAGATGGAAGAGTGTGGGAGGTTGTGACAGGTGGCAGAGTGAGGGGGTACCTGGTGGCAGAGTGAGGGAGGGAGTGGTTGAGTGGTGGCAGAGTGAGGGGGAGACACAGTGAGTGGGGGTGACTGGTGACAGAGTGAGGGAGTGGGTGACTAGTGACAGAGGGAAGGAGAGGGGGAGACTAGTGACAGAGTGATGGAATGGGTGACTAGTGGCAGAGTGAGGGAGGGAAGAGATGACTAGTGGCAAAGTGAGGGAGGGAAGGTGACTAGTGACAGAGTGAGGGGATGACTGGTGACAGAGTGAGGGGGGGTGACTGTCACTAGTCACCCCATCCCTCTCTCTGTCACTAGTCACTCCCTCCCTAACTCTGTCACTGTGTCACCCGCTCCCTCACTCTGTCACTAGTCACCCGCTTACTCTGTCACTCCCTCCCTCTGTCACTGTGTCACCCGCTCGCTTACTCTGTCACTAGTCACCCCCTTACTCTGTCACTGTGTCACCCCCTCCCTCCCTCTGTCACTGTGTCACGCCCTCTCTCACTAGTCACCCCATCCTTCTCTCGGTCACTAGTCACCCCATCCCTCTCTCTGTCACTAGTCACTCCCTCCCTAACTCTGTCATTGTGAAGTAAGGAAGGGGTGACTGGTGACAGAGTGAGGGAAGGGATGACTAGTGGCAGAGTGAGGGAAGGAAGGGATGACTAATGACAGAGTGAGAGAGGGTGTGACTAGTGACAGAGTGAGAGAGGGGGTGACTGTCACTAGTCACCCCATCCCTCTCTCTGTCACTAGTCACTCCCTCCCTAACTCTGTCACTGAGGACAGAGGGTGTGATTAGTGACAGAGTGAGGGAGGGGGTGACTAGTGACAGAGTGAGGGAGCAGGTGACACAGTGACAGAGTTAGGAGGGAGTGACTAGTGACAGAGGGATGGGGTGACTGGTGACAGTCACCCCCTCCCTCACTGTCACTAGTCACCCCCTTCCCTCTCTCTGTCACTCCCTCACTCTGTCACTAGAGTGAGGGGGTGACTAGTGACAGAGTGAGGGAAGGGATGACTAGTGGCAGAGTGAGGGAAGGAAGGGGTGACTAGTGACAGAGTGAGGGAGGTGGTGACTGTCACTAGTCACCACCTCCCTCACTGTCACTAGTCACCACCTCCCTCTGTCACTACTCCCTCCCTCCTTCTGTCACTACTCCCTCCTTCCTTCTGAGTGAGGGAGTCACGCCCTCCCTCACTCTGTCACCAGTCATCCCCTTCCCTCACTCTGTCACCCTCTAGTGACAGAGTGAGGGAGGGGGTGACTAGTGACAGAGTGAGGAAGGGGGTAACACAGTGACAGAGTGAGGGAGGGGGTGACTAGTGACAGAGTGAAGGAGGTGGTGACTGTCACTAGTCACCCCCTCCCCTCCCTCACTCTGTCTCTAGTCACCCCCTCCCTCTCTGTCACTAGTGACACCCTCCCTCTCTCTGTCACTAGTGACACCCTCCCTCACTCTGTCACTAGTCACACCCTTCCTAACTGTCACTAGCCACCCCCTCCCCTCCCTCACTCTGTCACTAGTGACACCCTCCCTCTCTCTGTCACTAGTGACACCCTCCCTCACTCTGTCACTAGTCACACCCTTCCTGTCACTAGTCACCCCCTCCCTCTCTCTGTCACTAGTCACACCCTCCCCTCTCTGTCACTAGTCACCCCCTCCCTCACTCTGTCACTAGTCACCCCCTCCCTCACTATGTCACTAGCCACCCCCTTCCTCACTATGTCACTAGTCACCCCCTTCCTCACTCTGTTACTAGTCACCCCCTCTCTCACTCTGTCACTAAGGACAGAGGGGGTGACTAGTGACAGAGTGAGGGAAGGGGTGACTAGTGGCAGAGTGAGGGAGGGGGTGACTAGTGGCAGAGTGAGGGAAGAAAGGGGTGACTAGTGACAGAGTGAGGGAGGTGGTGACTGTCACTAGTCACCACCTCCCTCACTCTGTCACTACTCCCTCCCTCCTTCTGTCACCAGTCATCCCCTCCCTCACTCTGTCACCAGTCATCCCCTTCCCTCACTCTGTCACCCCCTCACTCTGTCACTAGTCACCCCCTCACTCTAGTGACAGAGTGAGGGAGGGGGTGACTAGTGACAGAGTGAGAGAGAGGGTGAC